ATCAACATTAATCATGTCATGACCTTCCCCTCAACCAAACTATCCAAACCCCATTGAAGCCCCATTCATCCCCATTTGCCATGCAGCTCCGCGGGCCGATAATGGGCAAAGCAAAACACAGATTAAAGCCAATTTGGATGGTTGGGGCTTGAAGCTTTGCAGACGCAGGCAGGCAGCCCATGGTTGGTCTGACCTAATTTAGGGTTCATTCTGCTCTGCTCTCTCTCTCTCTCTCTCTCTCTCTCTCTCTCTCTCTCTCTCTCTCTCTCTCGCTCTCATCTGAGAGAGAGTCTGTGGCTTCACCGAGCGGGTGAAGACCGCAGAGCCTAAATCAAACCAGCCTGTATGTATGTGTATGAGAGAAAGAAAGAGTGTGTGTGTGTGCGTGTGTGTGTGTTTCAAACCAGCCTGTGTGTGTGTCTCACCCTCTCCCTGAGATGCCATTGGTAATGGGAACCAACTCCTCTCCATTCAACCTCCATTTGTCTCATTAGCCTATTAGTCCAAAGTTTAATCACAGGATGTCGTAAAATGATTTGGTCTATGACTAATGATAATATTTCTACTCCAAAATGAACGGAACAAAAGCAAAACGTGGGTTTTTGTTGTTGTCTTTGATGCTTTGATGCCATGTATGGGCCGCAGCTTTGGGCCTAGCAAGCTACCTCTCCGTAGGTCTAGATAATTGCTTACACGCTAGACGTCGTGGCATTAGGGTATCTCACGGCAGGATAACAAACTAATGAGTAATTTCATGGCTGTTGAGTCATTTTAAAAGGCAGCCATCTTGTTGATCTGACTGCGAGTTAGAGGACTGAAACGAATCCATTCTCTGTCATTGTAGCTACTGACTGTAAACAACCATGTAAAAAGGAGGGAGTTGTTAAAACAACACACAGAGTCTCTGGCCATGTCTGAAATCTGTCCTGCTAATTACTAAAATGACATACTTATCGTACTACATACTATTTAGAACCTACTGTTGAGTAAAAACGTATTCAGTAAGGAACAAATATCCCCATACTAGGTTCACCTATACTGATGCGCAATTGCGACAGCAGCATTATCTCATTATCAGATGATTATCAGCTGCTGTCAAACACACGTGGGTCTGAAAAGACGATTCTCTTCCTTCATTAGCGTGCAGCGAATTCTACTAGATGAAAAGCCAAAATTAGTATGACATCCTGGCATTTAAAGCATACAAAATTGTCCAAATTTCACATACTATAAAACGTTCTATTTCCACATACCCAAAAAGCGCGATTATGGGTATTGGGACACGACCAATGACTTCAAGGCACTTTCAAATGTACCATATAACACAATGAGTTAAATCAAATGTCATCATAAAAACATGTCTGTGATAAAATGCAGGGGTACCGAGAACAGTCTGTCGCTATAGGTCAAAGGTCAAATTTGATGTATCAGGGAAGAGAATGCAGCGAGAGAACTCTGGGTCGTCACTAGTTACCACAGTCACAAATGGCTAAACCTAGCCTATTTATACACTTTCTCTTCTTAAAATCTTATCTTAAACCTAACCCTGACCTTAGCCATAACCACATTGCTAACTTTATGCCTAACCCTAACCTTAAATTAAGTCCAAAAAGCTAATTTATGATTTCATAAATTTTTATGATATCGCCAATGTTGACTTTGTGGCTGTGGTAACTAGTGACAACCAGAACTCTGCCAAAGCGAATTCCTCTCCGCAACCCCTGGATACAACCCCTAGGGGGCAACATACCTCCTAAACTCCCACTGTAACACTAAATATATGTCTGAATGAAATGGCACCCTATTCCCTATATAGTGCACTGCTTTGGACCTGGACCCATAGGCCCTAACTCATTTCAGATCCCTAATTACAAAAGTCTGCTCCTCCTCAGTATGTCATTGTACCCTCTTTATTTTCTCTTTATCTCATTGCTCTTCAACTAGATAACAATACTGTGGAAATAAACCACTATGATAAGTTATGATAAAGTCCCCCTCATACCACCATAGAACAGCATGCCACAGTGATCATGCAGCATGTATAGTGTTTCTATTATCAAAGCCAGGTCGGTATGGGGAGGGTGTGTGTGTGTGTGTGTGTGTGTGTGTGTGTGTGTGTGTGTGTTTGTGTGCGGAGGATGTGTCGTTGCACTGACTCTGGTTAAGGAGACATTCCCATCTGGCGCCAGTGTAGAGGGAACCCACTGTGACACACAACAACACATACAGACACAGGGCGAACCCCGACCCCGGCCCAACCCCCCCGAGACTGAGCTGCCTCTCGTCTGCTCTCCTCCCTTCCTTCCTCCCTTCCTCCCTCGGTCTCTCCTCTCTCTTTCTCTCCTTCCTACTGTCTTTTCTCCCCCTTATTTTACTCTCGTTCTTACCCTTATCTCTCTGTTTCCTATTGTCTCTTCTCCTTCGTTTTGGTATTTTTCTGTCTGTCTCTTTCTCTCTCGCTTCTGTCCACTGCCTCTCGTCTCTTCTTCCTTTATCTCTCTTCTGACTCTCTCTCCCTTCTTTCTTATTCCTTGTTCAGTCTCTATCTTTCTTCTCTCCTATTCTCTCACATTGTTTCTCCATTTACATACTTTATTTACACCTCCCTACTTATCAGCAGCTGAGAGAGAGAGAGAGAGTAATCACCAAGCCAAATCAAAAATGAAACAGAACAATGAAACGAGAGCGAGAGAACATTACAGTTACCTCACTCCAAGTCCCCCTCTCTCTCACACGTTCACATTCTCCTCCGTTATGTGTGACATCAGAAAAACCCCAGAGGAATTTGATTATGGCGAACGTTATACACTAAATGAGCCTAAATTACTTTTGGCAATGACTCCTCGCAATATACTGGGGAATGTGGAGCCTCCAAACAGTCAGAACAAATTAAAAGCCAACCTGCTATTTTACTGTGGAGATCTGTTGATGTTGTAAAGCGAGGGAAACGGGACTGGAGGCCTTTACGTGACTACCCAGCAGATTTTATATGATTTTCCCCCAGCCCCAAATCTAAGCCTTCTTGGCATAAGATCCTATGCTTTGTCCAAGCATGGGGTCTGTAAATGCCCTAATAAATACTTTTTAACACTTTATGTAGTTCCATGCCCTAGGCCAAGAGGACAAAGTGTGTCACTCAGCAACTGCATGCGGAGGGGGAGAGAAATAACTCCCATCACAGTCTAAACTGGGCGTAATGTCTATTTAATTAACAAGCGTGGCTAGGCACACACACACATGCAGTAGGTGCATGTGCACATAGACGTACGCAAACACACACATGTGCGCATACACACACATACACACGAGCCTGCCCATACACATACACACACACACACACACACAAAACACACATAAATCCACACACATCTCCGGGCTTAGTGCGATGGTGTGAAAATATGTGAGTGTAAATGAGATGCAGACAGCCTCACAGCAGAGTCCCTGACAGAAATAGGAGAGAGAAAGAGAGCGAGAGAGAGAGAGAAAGCGAGAGAGAGAGAAGAATGTAGAGGATAGCAGAGAGGAAATGAAAGAGAGAGAGAGAGAGAGAGAGAGAAGGAGAGAAGAGAGAGGAGGGAGGGAGTGGACGAGAGAGAGGAGAGACGAGAGAGAGACGAGGGAGGAGGAGAGAGAGAGAGAGAGAGAGAGAGAGAGAGAGAGAGAGAAAGCGAAAGAGAGAGAGACAGCGAGAGAGCGGGAGAGGGAGAGAGCGGGAGAGGGAGAGACAGAAAGAGAGAAAGGAGGATATGGCTCAGTTCTGAATAGCTAAGCTGAGGTTTGAAGAAAAGAGGTAAGTCATGTTTTGCATTCTGTGCATACCAGTCATCTCTGAATAATGACAGGGAAAATAACGGACTCCACTTGGTTCTCCCTTGATTTGATTTTGGGACAAAAAGAATGAGTACTTTTACTTGCTTTTCTTCTTTTTTAAACTTAACAGAAACAATTTGTAAATACCAGGTAAATAGATACCACCTGAAACTGGATTGTAAAAATACAACGTTGCTATTGTGTATTGAAAGTACATACAAACAGTAATAAGGCCAAATCAACAAGTCCCAGATTAGGAATGAGAAAGCTTAACACTTTATTGATGACATCAGAGCAGATGGGTCTGACATAAACATTTGGCACTCAGAACACAACAAGGTTTAAAAACACTGGGTGGTGAATGATGACGTAATGACAGGATCACATTCATATTTACAATCTGATCCATGGTAAAAATACTGCCAGTTATTGTAATGAATTATGATGAATGCAAACTTGATATGAATCGCATTGCATTGTATTCACTATTTAAAAAATCCCAAAATAAATAATTCAAAAAATATTAAATAAATCCTGCCAGCTTTTCACCCAAATCAAAAAATCTGCAAATAAATTGCTTAAAATATAAATAAGCACATAATAAATAGGTAGTTAAATAAATACTCGAAAACACAAAGATACGGATACTCTAGGTAGTTATTGTTATGTTAAAATATGAATTATGAAACATTAATCCTACCTGTACAGCTGCTAGTCTACTACATTCAAAATCATCTGAATGGAAATGACATTCAACCCAAATATACAAGATCATCGTACCCAATCGTACCAAAATCCTCATACACAAATTATTCATAGTTGCTGGAAAATCTACTGAGGTTTTTACAATCAGGTTTCTAAATTAATGTGGGCTGTGTGCTTCCTGAACAGAACAAAACGTTTTATTTCAGTACTGTGTATGTAAAAATCTACAAAAAACATGTCTTGTTTTTCCTGTAGGACATGACATGACTAGATCTAAACCTGTAGGATATTAATCGATCTAAACGTAATAACACTAAACCTTGTAAGACCACATTTACTAATGATACTCTACATTCAGTTCAGAATAAAATGAAAACCTGAAATCATATCAGTCTGATGAGGACGATCTAGTGAGAATTTCAGGGAATCTTCTTATGTTCAGTTCTCCAAAGCTTCTCATACACACATCTCTCACCTCTCTCTCTCTCTCTCTCTCTCTCTCTCTCGCACAGGCACGCACACACATAACACAAGGCGGTGGTCCTCACTGATAACGTCATAGAGAGATTAACTTTACTGCAAATGAGTCACATACGCTGACACCTAAACAGACATTTGGAGCGTTACCCACAATACCTCATATGGAACTCCCCCAAGTAAACAACACTTTTTTCCCTTATCTCCATCTCCATCCCCTCTTCCTAACCCTTCCTTTCGGAGATCTCACATTCCCTTCTATCCTCATCACCCCTTCCTAAACCCTTTCCCTCTGGAAAGCCCTGCATCCCTCACTCCTTCGAACGACTCGCCTCCTCTTTGGCCCTCTCGGCTTGCTTCAGGGCGTTGATGACGGGGAACCATGGTGACGGGGGCAGCTCGGGGATGATGGCGCCGGTGGTGGTCCTCTTGGCCTGGTTGAGGTGACCCAGGGCGGTGTAGAGACTGCTGGAGCGGGGGGCCACGCCTGGGTCCTCCTTCTGCTGCTGCTCTGTGTAGTACCAGGGCTCCAGGACTGCTGCTGGGGTGCAGTGCTTGTGCTGCATGGGGAAGAGGAGAGAGAGGGTGGTTGGTGTCAATTGTATTATTTACTTCAGGATGTGAATTACGGTACAGAAAAACGTTGCAATTTTAAATCACTTCCTGAATTGAGTGAATAAAAAGTGACCCCCAACTCTGTAAGAGAAAGGATCCAGGAGGCAGAAGGGTCTGTGAAGAGGTGCGCAAAGGGATGTCGGATTATGATGTTGCCTCTATTTACGGTTAGGGACAGCAGGTATTCTGGTCATCATAATCACATGGGTTGTGGTAGGACTCAATAAATGATGAGGGCAAGTCACATGCTACTGCCTTACCCTTCACTGAAACTACTTTTTACAAGTGAGTCATACAAAGCCTTATTCCACAGCGTGGGCGAGGGTGAGAAAGGTTCCTACAGGGAAATTATTTTTCATATTCAAACCTAGATGTGCCAGCTTCGTCTCATTAGATATGACACCTGAGTTGCCATCCTTAGATAAATGAACACGTAAGCTGTCGAAGGAATAAAGAAAGGAACTCCACCTCCAATTTGCCAAGCTCTGCTTGACAGGAGAAGCTTCAAGTGAGTTTTCCTTAAGAGCGTTTTCCATTGAGTAGCATCGGCCTCCTGAACAAACCCCTGAGGGCAAACCAAGGCTTCCTGACAGACTACCTGACCTTCCATCAGTAGTGTGAGAAATTACCTCTCACAACAAGCCTGGCTGCCTTCGCTCTACTAAACGAAAGACAACGCCACGACACCCTCTGTTTGACTCTCCTTTTTCCTCCCCCATGTCTCCAACAACACATTAGCCGTGGAGAAACGCTGCGAGCTACACTGTACCCGTCAACATCAAAAGCCTTTGCCGGGAAGGCCCCCTTGCCCATCTCCCTCCTTTCGTCTTAAGCCTTTAATCACAGTTTAGTCACGCTCAGCCTTTATGAAAGGCCCCTCTCTGATTCACGGGCGTTCCAATCTACTGCCTGACCAAAAAGCCTTGCCTGCCTCTCTCTCTTTAAAAGACAGGAGGCCTTTATAGAGAGTAACAGGCGTGGAGCGTTGCCTGAGTACACGATGCCTGGGAGGTGTCCTAAGGAGATAATGAGTTTATGTTACCAGAATGAAGAGACAGAAAGAGTGGGCGAGAATCCCTTAGAAGTCTCTGGTGGGAAAATATGTTGTAAACAGAATACAGTATGAGTATTAGATGAGGTGTATAGTAAGTATGGACTATAGGAGAGGGTGTATTAGTATGTCATTGGGACTGGATGATAATTATGTCTGTGAAGGCGATTATAAGAACTCTGTTGGTCTCTGTGAGACATTGCAGGTGACCAAAATAGTTAGAGAAACAACCTCTGCTTCTTGTCTGTGAATTTAATGAATGTAACCCCCTAGGACCGTCTGACTGGGATAGGAGGCAGTGTGTGTTTATGTTTATGTGTGATGATGATGACGCTTTCAGTAGTCTATCTTGCCCTCGGACATGTAAGCTGTTCGGATAGAAGACGTGTGTGTGTGTATGTGTGTTAGTGATGCCTACCTTGAGAACGAAGCCCTCTGGGCAGGTAAGTTGATCGTACCACAGAGCCTTGTACATGACCAGCAGGAGAAGACAAGCCAGGAACCCAAGGGTGATGAGGATCAAACCTGTGAGCTGGAACACTCACACACACACACACACACACACACACACACACACACACACACACACATACAAACACACACACACACACACACACACACCACACACACACACACACACACACACACACACACACACACACACACACACACACACACACACACATACATACAAACACACACACACACACACACCACACACACACACACACATACACATACACACACACACACACACACACACACACACACACACACACACACACACACACACACACACACACACACACACACACACACACATACATACAAACACACACACACACACACATACAAACACATACACACACATACACATAAAAACACACACATGCACACACACACACACACACAACCATGAATATCACCATTATTCCCAGTAGTTCTACTTCAGTAAACATACTACTAGCCCCTAGATAAGACTTTACCTTGACCTTCTCTGATACCTCGTCGTACAGTTTTATATTCAGCTTCCTGATTCCCGGCACGTACAACTTCTTCTTTTTCTTCTGCTGCAGCTGATACTCTGTTGTGGTCTTCACGATTACCTGAGGATGAACAGCAGCATCGCACACAAAGCACTCTGAGTCAGATCGCTGGGTTGAAACTGGGCTGCTACCTTAAATAGCACTGTAAGGTGTGTGTGTGTGTGTGATCTACTATGTATTCTAAGAGGTCTGAGATAGTGTGGGGTGATGCCACAGCACTCTGAAGCATTGGGTTAACAGGGAGGCTGGGGCAAGGCACAGTACAGGGACCAATGGTAGGTTCAGAAGGGATGCAGGCTTGATGTGTGTCCAGACGTGTATTGTAATGTAATGTACAGACAGGATGTACTGAACACGTGTAATAATCACTGCATGTGCGCACGCACACACACACGCACACACACTCATGCGCACGCACACACACACACGTTGTTACCTTGTCTAGGTACGGCTGTTGCAGCTGGTTCACCTCCAGAGGGGTGATGAGGGGGATGTTATCAAAGCCATCATCCATAGACTGTTCTTTCTCCAGCTTATCAGCCAGGTTACTGCCCAGCTTCACCATGTCTGCCTGCCTGGACGATCTGAATGGGGAAAGAAGCAGTGCAGAGGATCAGATGCTGGGTAACACAGCTCTGTTGGGTTCTAACTACTTCGCAATGACAGTCTGTCTGGATGATTTGGATCGCAATTACAAACAGTGCTGAACAATCGATTAGATGCTGGTTAACGCAACTCCGTTTGGCTTTACTGTGCAGAGGGTATAATACTTGGTAATGCAGCTTGGTTTTATTCCACTTAGTTGTTCCCTGGTTCCTCGTGTGGCTGAAGTTGAAGATGATGTTAAAACGATAGTGATGATGATGATGATGGTGAGAGCTTTATACAAATGGCTGCTGTGATATGCCTCTGACTGTCTTCCTCCTGCACTATCTGGGAGGTTTGTGTCAAACCAGATGTTATCGTTATTATGTTGATTTCCACAGGTAGGTCTACTGTATCTCTTTCATTCGACAATATGCATAGAGTTTATTATGTCCATACTGGCTGTAATTCCAAGGTGCGTCATGTAAAGATGTTGCGTGGGCTACATACACAGTAGATGCAGGAATACATGCTGTGTGGGGTTCATATCCTATGTGTTTGTTGGTGTAACTGTGCTGTTCTCCCTCCTCGTCGATCAGTGCATCATCTAAATGTGGAACAAAAGGTGAGAAGCCACTTAGCTTGTTGACACAGTGTGAAACGCAACACCATCTTCTCTGTAGCTCGCCATCCTGTATCGCTGTGAGAATGACTCATAATGATGATGTGAACAACGGGGCAAAGATCAGTTCCTCGCAGGTTCAATCATACACACAGGCACAGGCAGGAACACAGACAAGCACGAAAAAATACACACAAGCACACACACTCTCTCTCTCTAGCTCTCTCTCTCTCTCTCTAGCTCTCTCTCTCTCTCTCTCTCGCTCTCTCGCTCTCTAGCTCTCTCTCTCTCTCTCTCTCTCTCTCTCTCTCTCTCTCTCTCTCTCTCACACACACACACACACACACACACACTTCCTACAGGTTCCATTAGCCTGGCTATTGTTGCACTGTGGAGTGAGTGGGTGGCTATAATGGCTAATGTGGTTGTCAGTACAGCCAACCGTCTTCAGACTGTAGATTGCAGGCTACTGTAGGAGGGAGGTGTGGGTGCCATGGTGATTCAGATGACTGATTGATGCTATATCAATGCAGAATGAGCTAAGAGCCAGCTGTCAAATCTGTTCCCCCATCAGTGAAGGAATGAAACAAGGTTTGGATGAATGTGGATGGCATTATAAGCAGACAATCAGTATAGTTTCCTTAATCTTTTCTATTAATATTTTTGGTCAATATTCTCTGAATATTCTGATTGGGAAGTACAATATGGAGGTGATGTTTATAAATGCTTTACAAATCTAAAAAATAGAATGATTCTATAAACTAATAGTATCTAGGCCTGTTAACTTTTTTCTTCAGGGTTCACTAATAATGCATCTGATCTCAACTTGCTGCATTGAAAAGAGTGCGTTTGCTGCGGCAGAGATTCTACTGATAAGAACAACCGCCAGGTAGCAAACATCCCGAAAACCAACAAGACAGAGAAATTACATGGACATGACTGGTGAAACTCATCTCACGTCACACGTCAT